GAATGCTGAAAACGGCAGTCAATGAGAATGTGACAAAAGGAAGCACAGATCTCTGTCCCTCAGTTTGCAAGTCTTAGCAAAGTATTGTTCAGGATATTCTGCTTCAGCACTGCTTCCAATTGGCTCCAGCAAATCTCACAAGATCTGGACAGCAATTCATGGGTACAGAGAAATAAGTTGCCATAAACATCCTCAAGCATGTTCTGCACTGTAGATTCAATTTTTTGCACTCTTGGTAACGAGGTTACAGCCTAGCTGCTCTCTTTTAGATCTCCAGGCCCCCAGAAAATGTGTCTTCTCCTCCCTCCCATTCTTCCTTCAGGTATAAGTTGATGGGATCCAAACCAGAAGTGGCTGTCCAAGAAAGGGATCTTGGGATTATGGTTGGCAATCCAGGGAAAATATCACCCCAGTGTGCGGCTGCTGTGAAAAGGACAGGAAATGAAAATAAAACTGCCAAGATCATACTCTCCTCATCACATCTGTGGTGCAACCACACTTAGAATAACATGTACTGTTCTGGTTACCCCACCTAAAAAGGAAATTGTAGAGTTAGAAAAAGTGTAGAAAAAAGTAAGGGGCTGGAAATCTCCCCTGTGAGGAAAGATTACAACATTTGAAATTGTTTAGCTTAGAAGAGAAACAAAGTAAGGAGCGACATGATAAAGGTGTACAAAATTATGCATGATTATTATATTACATTTATATCCCACTTTTTTCCTCTTGCAAGGAACCAATGACAAGTTGTAAATTTCTCTTCCTTTCTGTTTATCCTCACTCAACAACCTTGTAAGGTCGGTTAGGTTGAGAAGCAGAGACTGATCCAAAGTCAAACAGGAGCTTCATGGTCTAGTGAGGATTGGAATGCAGATCTCCTGAATTCCAGACCAGCACTCAAACCACTGGCTGTGTGGGAAACATGGATAGGGAAACATTTTCCCCTCTTTCAAAATACTAGAACCTGAAGTCATTCCATGAAGCTGATTGATGGGAGATTTAGGACAGATCAAAGCAGGTGCTTCCTCACACATGTTTAAACTATGGAGTTCACTGCCATAGGAAGTAGTGATGGCCACCAATTTGGATGGCTTTAAAGGGGCTCTGGACATGTTTGTGGATGAGGCTGCTATCAATGGCTACTAGTCCCAATGAATATTTGGTGCCTTCAGTATCAGAAAACAGTATGGTTATGTACACCAGTGCTGGAGAACATGGGCACAAGGGTTGCACTTCTGCCCTGCCTGTGGGTTCCCATGTGCAGCTGGTTGGCCACTGTGTGCAGAAATGCTGGACTAGATAGGCCTTTGGTCTGCTCTTATATTCTTACCTGGGCTCCTACCTGTCTAGGGCATGGGTGGGTAAGGCCTACACTCACTTCTGAGTTAGCCTCACTGAAATTACTAGGGCTTACTTCTGAGGAGACAAGTGTAGATGTCAGCAAGGTAGCTAGTGGCTGTTTCACTAAAGGCTTTGGATTCTTTTTTCATTCCACCAAGATCCCCAGGCATGTGCTTTGCTTGCATTATTGGTAAATCAAGCTAGACAGAGGGCAAAAAAGACATTTGCTGTGGTTAGGCATTTGCTTTGAGACATATAGGACAAAATATAAATAGTTAAACATGGAGAAATAGAAGGGAAGCTACTGGAATGGACAGAAGGACAAATGGAAGGCAAATAGTAGGAGAGGTACAGGGTGACTTCTAGATAATATGAGGGATATACCACTTAAGTGTCTCAGAACATCTTTTTCCCACCAATGTCCCTATAGTAATTATAAAAACTGTTTTATAACTACCAACTGTGTGTGTATGTAATAAAATACTAATTTTAGAATTTTCCTAGAAATATCCTCCCAATTGTGCCAGTTTGGCTAATACAGGACTAGTTTTCTGAGCCAGCGTGGGATACTGGTTAAGTACTCATAAAGTGGACTGGAACTCAGGAGATACCTGAGTTTTAGTCCCCACTCAGCCATGAAGCCCAGTTGGGTGACTTCGGGCCAGTCACAGTTTACGTTTCTACTGCAGTGCAGCTGCACAAATATTGGGGTACCGTTGCATCTTCCCTCTGATACAATGAGTGACAGGAAATACAATAACCCAATCCACTATATTGTGAAACTGCTTTTTAAACAAACAATTCTTTGGAGGTTTAAGCTCATGCATTGCGCAACCCAATACAGTAGCATCACCTTCCCACTTCCAACTATATTTTAAAACATATATTTTATTTTATGTTGCTTTTCTAAATCCTCAGTTGGCGTGGTTTGCTTTGCTGCCCTCTTCTAATACACATGAGCATCCTCTGACAGGTTTTTCTTACAGCCAGTCTCTTTGTCCTCCCTATCTGTTTTATGTCATCTTTATACTGTCACTAGATCAGGACTTGAACAGACATTGTGCAAAAGATCACAACATGGAGACTCGTTGTGTTTGTGAAGAAAGTTTTAAAACACAACCCACAACCATACCCTTTATATTCTGGCAAATGTTTGATGCTGGGATTTATATTCCCAATTCCAGGAAACAGTTCCCTTCACTGTTGGGGGAGAAGCTTCCTTCTGTACTGTCGACCTAACCAAGTCCTATCCCTTTAAGAGCCAGGGAGGAAGGCTGTTGCTGTGGAAACGAGTGGATACACTGCAGCTACACAGAGGAAGGAAAGAAAACACAGTGAGTCTAAATGGGGGCCCTAAAGGCTGACATGAGGGCTGGTGCGGCTTCCCTTTATCTTCTCTAGGCTCATCCCCTTCTCAGAGAGCCACTTGGGTGGGCTGCAAATACCTGGGAAAGAAGCTCTTAGCCGGGCAGCATTTGAGGTAGTTTGTTATTCAGGATCTGGATGCTCTTTGGTGGGAATGGATGCTACTCAGTGAAAATAGAAGAGGCAGGAAATAGGGGGTACAGTAGCCATTCTCTCTGCATTGCCACAGTCACGTGTAGTTTCCTTGATGAATCAGTGGCTACACTGGCAGACAACCAAGTACAATCAGTGTGAAAGAGAATGTTCAGGACAAGGGGAGATTGTCTGGGACTCCCAAGAATTTTGGCCCCTTTTCAAGCAAATTTGGTTTATGCCGTGCTCTCTCTGGTGCGACTTCTCCGTTCAAATCCTCTTCTCCACAGGCGCAGTTTGGGTTTGCTGTTTTACACACAGCATCATGTGGTGCAATGCGTGGTCATTTTGCAATATTCTTCCCTAGCTTTCTAATTTAGGACACTGGACCATAAACTGCCTGCTGTTCCATATGCCCCTCTGCTCCATCGCGGTCCCCATTCTTCCATCTCACCCTCCCCACCTCCCCAATCATCATATTGATGGGATGTGTGGATATTTGCATGCCACTCAGCATACAGTGCATTAGGTGTTCCAGATTCCTAGCCTTCATTTGCAAAACAGTCTGTAGTCTTTGTATTGGGGTGGGGGAAACAAGCACACAGTATTTGCACACATAATCTTGTCACCCTACACAATTAATGCCAAAACCCGTATCTTGGAAATAGTAATAGGTCCCCCCCCCCCCCCCGGTATAGTTTTTGTGTCAGTTTGTACACTGTGACTCTCAGGTGCAATCAGAGAATCTGTAAATTCTGGTTTATGCTATGGAGCACTGCACCTTTTGAAATGACAAGCTGTGCATTTGGCAAATGGTTTTACTAGGCTTTACCACCTTGAATGGTTTCATTTCAACCTGGGGAGACATAAATACTCCCATTTTGCAGATGTTGCTGTGTTTGACATGGAAAATTCCCAGGAACCTGAGAGCAGTGAAGGGGCAAGTGTACCATTAGAATTCTGTTCTAGGTCCAGAAGTATCATAGTATGATTGTCCTGATAATTTATCTATTTATCTTAATATTTATATACTCCTCCATTCCCATAAGATCTGGGCGGTTTACAAGAAATTAAAACCAGCAGTGATTAAAATTGATTAAGGCAACATATTAAATAAAACTGACATGAGAACTAATCTGGGAAGTCCTGTTGGGAGAGATACGTTTTTAACTCCTCTTAAAGGTGGGAATTTGGGAAATCAGATACATTTCTCCTGGCAGACCGTTCCACAGCTTAGGGGCAACCACTGAGAAAGTTCTCTGGGAAGTTAACATTAATCTTATAGTAGCAGAGATTATCTCCAGAGGACCTTATCTGGTGAGGCAGAATGTATGGGCAAATGCACTCTTCAAGGTCCTGAAATGCTCTTCCATGCGCTGATCTCCTGAGCATTCTTTGGGCTGGGTATCATCACCATCAAGCATTGCATTCTCTTGCCACACTCTGGGGCAGGAGGGAACATCCTCGGGGAAGAATGCAGATAGAACACATGCAAGAGGTGTACATTTTTCTGGCCTGAGCACATGGGCAGGTAAGAAAGGTCCCCTGCCCTTTCCCTAACTTCGTGTGAGGCTTAACAGAAGCAGACCACACACAACAGAAATGGTTTATAACACAATCCTCTGCGTGTTACTTTGGGTAAATCCCATTGTTTTTAACAAGCCTTAGTCATAGGTAACTGTGCATTGGGTTGCAGCCTTAACATGCTCAGTTTGCTTAACTGGCATAACAATTTACATGATTTGTCAATCGGTCTTCCTGAATTTAGGCAATATAGCACTCTTATGTAAAAAGATGTGGGCAACCAGCAAGTGAAACAGGACATTCTGTGTTATCTGCAGAGGAATTCTGTATCACAGATCCTACACATGTCTGTTTACACCCTCCTAAATACCCAAAAGATTGCAGTCTCATGTTGCAACTACACCAGCCACATGCAGCTCTATGTATCTGAAAAGTTTAATAACCTTTGATACAAACATTACCGTCATGGAGCAACATAGCAGGATTAATTTTTTCCACTTGTCTCGCACACCACGCACCAGCAGTGAAGCCAGCCCTCCTCAACATATTGCCCTCCAGAAGTTTTAGACATTAACCCCCATCAGTCCCAGCAAGCATTACTAAAGGTTAGCAGTTGTAAGCCAAACATTTGGAGGGCCTCAGGTTGGGGAAGGCAGACTTAAACTCACCTTATCGTTATGATGAGGGTTGTTAAGGACGGCTTGCATAATTCATATTCTCTTTTCGGAATTCCTCAATACAGACCTGTGCAAAGAGGATCCCTTCCACATTCACCTGTGCCAAGTTCTCATCTGTCCACAATGCAACAGTCAACCTCAAAAGATGTGACAGAAGAGGCATCAATAGAGAAGATTCCCGCCGCCAGCAAGGAAGCAGTGGACTTCCTCTCACGCATTGGTGGGTTTCCTTTTGCAGGGCTCTCATGCACTGTCTATCTCACTACTGTTCCACGTGCGAGTGGGATCACTGATAGCCGGGTGCATGTCTGGGACTGGATTTTGCAAACACAGGAGTCTTGCTGCAGAAGTAGACATTTGCTGCTGCTGCTGCTGCTGCTGCTGCACTGGGAAGCATAACAAGGAGCTTTGTATCTTATTCATAGCAGGCATGTGAAGGGCAGAGTGGATTTTCCTCAGGACCATCCCTTCCCAGCTGCAGCCTCCCCACCCATGTGCTTCTGCAAGCCCTGAAAAATATTCCCACTGTCTCCCATGAGAAATTTCCCCCATGGAGCTAATGGCAGCTGCCAGAGTGGTGGGGACACCAGAGTGGTATGGGAGGAAAGAGTTAAACCTATCCTCCCCATGTGCCTTGGTTTCAACAAAAATGCACTCTTCCCACTGCGCTGCACCTGCTATTTTTAAAAAACACAACAGCAACATAAGGAACATTCTATGTCTGAGTGGGCACAAATCTATACATTTTAAGGAAAGCCAAGTTTCCTGCTAAATCCTAAAAAAACCCAAAACAAAACCCGTGTTTCCCATGTGAAGCCATCCAGCCAGCCCTCAACTAAGTGCCAACTTTCCCTGCCTGCCCCCACCATTGCTATATTTAAAGGTTATCAAGCCTGACCCCCATCCAACCTCATGCTACCATTTTTTCAAAAGGCCTCACAGCCTCCCCACCTATCCTGCCTTTGACAGGAAAGACTGTGGGTTGTAAATGCTTTGTTCTAGAATGTTGTCACCCAATATGAGAGCCACTGTATCAGCTTGGACCAAACTGAGTAGCGTGAGAGATGCCTTTTAAATGAATGAATGAATGAATGAATGATGAATAACAACCAATTTCAATTGCCTTGGAAGACTTCTTGGAGAAAGTAGGTTTGGGTTTATTCATCTAGTGGCCCTTGGATATTTGGATTTTTGCCAGATTGAGTAACACGCCAGTATCTCCTAATGTCAGGATATGAAGCTTTTGGAGTTTGTTAGATCACAATTGTGGCGGACCCTCTTTATGCATCCTCACACACACTCCACTGCATCCCACCACCTTAAAGACCTTCCTGGGAAGCAGTCTTATTCTCTGTTGCCTGAGTGCATATCAGCCTCTGTGCTGGCAGGCTGATGGGCGTCCCACGCCTGAAATGAAGCATGGCAGTGGTGGTGGCAGTGTCTACCAGTACCAAATCTTGTCTAGATCAATACTTTCAGCTGTCTACATAAAGTGCTAGGAAGGGGGAGAGAAGGGAAGGAGGGTTGGATGCCAACAGGAATCAGTGCAAGTCCACAGCTCCAGCCTCTCCCCTTCTGTGACCCCCAGCATGCTTCTTTCCTCCCTCTCTGGGGCCCAGCAATGTTGGGCAGGGGCCAGTGGGTACAATTCTTTCCATGCCAGTAGCAGTGGGGATTGGGGTAGAGTCCTGGCCATTGGAATCCCAGCTCTGAATAATCCAATGGCTTCCCAGATGATGTGAGAAGACCATAGGATCACATCCTTAAAGATCATAGGTGAGCCCCAGGAACGTCTAGGTCTTCTTTACTGGTATTAAATAGGAGAAAGAAGGAGTGATAAATGCCATCTGGGAGACTCCAAATCTTGGAGCCTCTTCTCCTATTTGACTACAAATGATTTAACACCTCCAAGGAGATCCTGGTGTGAATCTTAGGTCATCTACTCTAGAATTTTAGAGCTGAGTTTACCCCAGCTAGCCAAATATTCCCCTATGCTTATGTGTAACCTGCCTTACTTTCCTCAAAGAGTAACTACCTATGTTTGAGGGTTATTTTTCCCATTCTGAGTGAGAGCAGGTAGAACTTTCTCAGTCTCACAACTTTCTGAGTGATGATGTTCAACCATCTCATCTTTCAGAAGCAAAAGAGATCAAGCCCTGCCTCTTTGAAGAATCATTGGTTGCCATTTCTGAGAGTGGACAACCTATAGGACAGTTCTCCATCTCAGTGGAGTGGTCCTGCTATTCACTGGATGGCTGGCAGGAAGAAGACTGCTACCTGGTCCGTGCAAGCAGCAAGGGGACAATTGACGGTGTACCTTGCACAACGTCCATTACAGGTGATTTTATTGGCAATCTGGCTGGGGAAAAGAAGGAGAAAACCAAGTAAACTCATGTTTCCAAATAGCACCTTCAAAACGGGTGGCATGGGATCTTGAAAACTGGGTGCAATGGAGTTTTAATAGTAGAAGAGGTGCAAACTAACACACTCAGTGCTATTCCTCCTTATTTGGAAAAGTTGCAACTGCTGGGATTGATTAGCCTAGAGAAAGGGCAACAAAGGGAACACATGATAGAAGTGTACAAAATAATGCATGATGCAGAGAACATGTTCTTCCTTTCTCATAATACTAAGACATCCTCATCAGGTGAGGTTTTAGATGTGCTACACCACCCCCTGGCTGCAGCAATAAACTAGATGAAGGCTAATAAATTAAAACTCAGTCCAGGCAAAACTGGAATGCTGCTGCTGGATGGAGAGCACTCAGCCTGTTCTGTATTCCCTTGAAGGAGCAGGTTGATAGCCTGGGGCTCTCCTGAAGCCATTTCTATCAGTTGAAGATCATATAGCTTCGCAGTGGCACCGAATGCCTTCTGCCTTCTAACAGGTTCGGTGGTGGCCCAGCTGTGCCCCTCTCTAGACAGGGACAACCTAGGTTCAGTAGCCCATGCTCTAGTAACCTCCAAGTTAGTTTAATGCAATTCATTCCACATGGGACTGCTGTTGACTATTGTTCAGAGGCTGCAACTTGTGCAAAAATGTGACAGCCAGATTAGGAAACGGGACCAGAAGGTTGGAGCATGTAAGACCAATTCTGGTCTGCTCGCATTGGCTGCCTATTTGCCTCTAAGGTGTTGGTGTTAGCCTATAAAGCCCTATATGGCTTAGGACAGAAATGCTTGTTGGAGTGCCTCTCCTGACCTAAATTTATGCAGACGCTACTTTCAAAATCTGAGGTTGTCCACCAAGTGATACATCTGAGGGAGGCTCAGATGGCATCAATAAGGAAGACAGTCTTCTCAGGGGTACCCTCCCAATTCCTCCAGTTAATGAATGATCTCCCCACTGAGGCCCATGTGGCATCAACACGCTAAGGCATTTGAACAGCATATCACCGGGGTGGGGGTGTTATATTAGTGTTCCTTTCTCTTTTTCCTTTCAAGAGGCCTACTTGTATTGAACTTGTTTTAGTTGTTTGAATTATTTTAATATGTTTTACATTTTATATTGAAATGTTGTCCCCTTTTTACTATATTTGTATTTTGCATTATAGTTCATTCTGTTGTATGAACTGTTGTTGGTTGCCCAGAAAGCTTCAGCTATAGGGTACTATAGAAACAAAATGAAATGGTTGTTTCTCTCTTTCTGTATCAGGATATGTAACAAAGAGATTAGAGACTGTAGAACAGCACACAAAGGAGAGTATGAGGGTAAGAATCTTGCTTACCTCTTTACTGGGAAAATAAACATGCACTGGTACCATGCTTTTAAGCAACTGAAAGCAGAGAGCAGGATTAAATGGTCTGTTCTTGCAATGGAAGAATATAAACAGTGGGATTCTCCAAGGATCTGGAATGGGACTGGTATTTTTTAACTTGGTCATAGAAGTTTTCTACTTTAATTCTAATTCCTTGAAGATTTTTTCTTATGCTGGCCATGGGGGATAATGTAAGACTAAACTGGGTTTCAAGAAATCCCAGGAGGTTCCAGGAAGGGAAATAATTCTATGCAAAATGCCTGCATAGAATCTGTAGCCTTAACAAGGCTAGCCCTGGCTGTGCTTACTCTTTCCCACAGTTTAAGGAGCATCCAGTGGAAACCAGGACCCATGTGGTAAAACGCCAAGGCCAGCTTTTTGTGAGAAAAACCATTGTGGAAAGAGATGTGAGTAAAGTGGGCTTCTCGTGGAAAGACCCTGGAAAGCCAACCCCAAACTGCTCCTCCTCCAGTGCTGAAGAAAACCCCACTAACATTTCATAATGCTTACTTGGATGTAGCACAACCAGGTTCCATAGCTGCAACTCTTAGGGATGGACAAATTAATCTATTCTGTTTTTGCATGTGTTTACCCAAATACATGCAGAAGTTCTGTCCCATTTTCACAAGGATCTGCAGTTCTTTTAAAAAATCTGAACCAAATTGTGAATTTCAATACATATTTTTAAACATATTCCATCTTAAAAGAAATGGTTGATATGATCTTAAAGCCACAAACATCATCAGAACATTCAGGAAATGGGTTCCAGTTCAAATGTTAGCCTGAGTGATGCAATCATGTCAGTTCATATTGGGATTTGCAAATTCTTCAAGCATCCCTAGCAATGACTAATCCCAAGTGAAAGGGATTAGAAAACCTTCAGTAATTTGCACCACTAGACTGGGGCTGCAATTTTGAAGGAGTAATTATGCTTTGGTCTACCTCATAGACTAAATATCTCATAGATTAGCATCCTTCAATCTAGTCCTTTCCCAATGCCTTGGACCTCTGTTTCTTCAGCCCTTGCCAGCATGGCCACTAATAGTTAGGGATGTTGGGAATTGTAGTCCAGCACATTTGGAGAGCCCCTGGCTGAGGAAGACTGCTCTGTTACAGTAAAGTACATCCCACCTTTCTTCCATGATAATGCTCAAAGCAAAGTGAAGGGAACTTCGCAGATGGTCTTCCACTGAGCCACACTCAGGGACAGTATCTATAGAGCATTTCACATATTCCTCAAAACAGCAAAACCTCAGAACCATTCTATATAGTAGGCTAGTATTGTTATCCCCATGTTTCAGATACAGTTGGGTGCTAAGGACAAATGAGTCCTGCTTACTTATTGCCACCTATTGAATTTATAGCTCAAATTTAAACTGAGGATTTCCCAGGTCCTCATAGTCCCAGCCACTGTTCTGGGACTGCCATGGCAAGCAGCAACAAGATCACAGAAGCTCTTCTCATCGAACCACCAAGGGACTTCCAGTCTTGTCTGCAGTTCCAGCAATACCATCTGTAAGCCCAGGTCTTTTCTCTGGATCAGCCTGGGATTTGGTGAGTGATGTCTTCCCTCTCCTCTCTCCCAAAGGAAGAAATCCATGTTGACACATTTTCATATCAATGCTCGCAACTTGAAGGACTAATCTCAGAGTCTGCCAACCTCCTGGTGCTGCGGGTGATGGCCAGGAGACAGGCTGTGCCACAGGATGCCATTTTCCTCTCATTTGACACTGACCAGCACATCTGTATTTCCACTTACGTACGTTTGGCTGGTTGATTCAGGGACCATGTTATGGTGGGGCAACTGGGCATCTGGGACTGTATGGGGAAGTTTGCCTTAGTCCATCCTCGGCAGGCATTAACTCCCTGGTTAAGACTCCAGGCTGGTTTGAGATCTTCTGTCTGACACTCTGTTGAGCTACTTCCGATCAGTGTAGAGACAACATTGATCTTGATGGGCCAGTTCGCTAGATCAGTTATCTTTCTGTGACATTCCTAAATCATTTATCTAGCTTTTCCCAGCATGCACAGCCAGTATGGCATAGCAGCTAGAGTGCTGGGCAGGGGATGTAGGAGATCTGGGTTCCACTTTCCACTCAGCCATGAAATTCCCTGGATGGTTTTGGGCCAGTCACTCATTCTCAGCCTAACCTACCTCACAGGGCTGTGGCTCCTCACACGAGGACAAAAAGCAGGATGCAAAAGCAGTAATAACAGTATTGACTTCAATACCTTATTTAAGCCTTGCTAAATGAAATAGCAACAGGGACTGGAGTTAGTAGAGACATGGATATGCTGATCCACAGGATAGGAGAACAGGAAGCTGAGCTGCAAGGATTGCAGCTGCTTGCACTGGACAGGGATGAAGCCCAGATCTCATCCCAAAGGTCCATATGTACTCTGTCTGCATGGACAGACTATCCAGGCAAGGTTAGATGGATGGTCCTTGAGCAGATTGGATGCAAGGATGCAGTTCTACTGATAATAAAGATAACTCACTGTAGAAGCTAGGGCATTGCTGCCCCAGCATCTCTTCTTATGCACCAATCCCTTCCCAGAATGCCCTGGGCTTCCAGAAGCAGCAGGTGGGCAAGGAGGAAGTGGATGTGTTTGTCATCGAGAGAAGCGTACACCCTGCAGATGTGGTCCCGCTGACCTGGCAGTTCTACTTCCTGTCAGATGGGTAAGTACAACCTCTTGTGCTCAGCCCTTCCGGGCATACAATCTGAGTGGCTGCCTCTATCTTAGTGCATCCACTAATAGGCTTTTCCATTGCTGTCTCAATGCCTAGTGTTGTTTTTTTTCTAATTGCCAAGATTTGCAAAAAATCATTTTCTGATTGGAAAAAAATATCTAGGGAGAGTTCCTTTATGCTCACACAAACTGTGTGTGTGTACCGATCTGCCCCCCATTCCTTATTCCAACTTAGAAACTGTATCTAAAGAATCATTAGAACCATTTGTTTGCAAAGAATTACATATGAAATGTGGGTGGAACATTTCTTCAAATGTTTCTAGATAGCATGTTCACAGGAGTGGATGAAAAATGGCTCTCAGGTTGTCATTAGACCCCAGCCGCTTCAACTGGCATTACCAATAGTCATGAATGATGGAATTAATAGTTGAGCAACATTTGGAAGGATTTCTTGTCCATGCTTGTCCAGTTTCTGGTGTTTCCAACTCTAAGACTAACTTCAAATACCACATTATCTCCTCTGAGCAGCTTGCAGCTCCCACAGTTCTTGGCTCCTGCCACAGCAGAGCATTCTGGGAGTACACTTGGCAAATTTTCTTGGAGCCTCTGTCTTCAAGTGCTTTTAGACTCCAAGAAAGGATGCAGTGCTACACATTCACATTCTCACACATGCACATATTTTCCTCTTCTGCTTCGTTCCCTCCCTCACAAGACTACTTTCAGCTGGGCAAGGTATTTCTCCTGGAGGAAGGTAGCATAATAGCTGCATCCTTCCACAGTGCCTCATGGCACTCACAGCTTGTAGGCACTAACCCTAACCCTGGGCAAACATTCACAGAGCATCCAGAAGCAACAGACTCCCATGTAGCTACAGTCTTGTTGGGCTCCTGCCTCCCTCTTGCTGTTCACAGACAAATGCAGAAGGGCCCAGTTGGCTAGTTTTCCTTCTTGCCCTCTCCTTCTTCACCTAGGCATTTATCCTGTCGTGTCCAGGTTGGATCCCCGGCCACCATGGTGATCCTACAGTTGCCAATTTTGATCGAGACAGGTAAAGGAGGAGTCTGAGGACTGCCCAAGCTCATGCTTGCACATGCATTCCCTTCCCCAGGCAGCTTGAAATGGTCCTCCATGGTAAGTGGGACCTTTGGTAGTGGTTGAAGGGAGTGTTGTTGGCACTGGAGGTGAATCACCAGGTGGGGCAAAAGGGCAGGAAGCCACTTGGCCACTGGGTGTATATGAACTGCACTTTCAAAAAAGCAAGGCCATGACTTTCCATCTGGTGCCATCTCTCAATCCCATATTCCCAACAATCTCACCTAATTTCCATCTCTTCTCAGATGAACCAGACCCTCGCCCAGTCTTTGAAAAAATTCCCCTGGATTGGGAGGAGGATGTACAGCTGTACTCCAAATTCTTAGACAGAAAGGTGAGTGACTCAAGAGCGTAAAGGCAAGCTGCTTGCTGAAAACTTTCCCCCAATATTTCAACAGTTGAAAATGAGCCAAAGCACACATCAGGTGTCTATGATCAGATGTCCCAACATTTTTATTTTTACTTAAAAGCAACTGAGGTAGAAATGCAAATTGAATAGAAGCAGATACAGAGAGGGAGGGAGAGTCAGTCTTGTCCTTTCCTCCCCATGCCATTCTCCCAATCCAAATCTCCCTCTCCAAATTTCTGTATGCCTTTCAGTGGGGGAATGCAGGTCTCTGTTTCACAGGACTTTTTACATGAGCCATTTATTGTGCACTCATGATTCCTCATTCTCAATAGATTGTGGGTGCTTTATTCATCATCCTCCTCCTCCTTCAGGACTTGCTTTCTGCCACTTTTCTTAGAGTGAGAAAGTTATAGGTTTATCTGGAAATGGAAGAATGAACCAGAATAATTAACTCATATGTATTCTCAATTCTGCTGTACTGTAGCACCTTGTTGCGGTCATCTAATGGAACATAGACAGACAGACAGACAGACAGACAGACAGACAGACAGACAGACAGAGAGAAATAAGACAGACAGACTGAAAACCAGTGGGGGGGAAAAACCAAACATGTGGAAAGGAACCAGTCTTAATCCTGCAAAAATGCAGAAGCATTGGTAAAATGTTGAGTGCTAAGCCTCATGTAGAGAGGCCCACAACAGAAATACATACCTCTTAAGTCTATATATACTGGGACTCACTGTTTGACAGGAATTTTAGGATTGCCACTTATATGAGGAGCTGCAGTGGGAAAAATAGCATCCAGGTTGAATTGCATGTCCTCAGCTCCTACTGAAATCAGTAGGACTTGCATCATTACTAATGTCCCACTGATTTTAGTGGGACTTAGGTGCAGCTAAGTATAAATCCAAGCACATGATTCAATGGTTTGGTGCTTGGCTGGGAGCTACAAGAATGTCACAGTAGTAACCACAGTGGGGTTCTTGAGCAGCATGGCTGCAACGAGGATGCCAATAAAATGGGATGCATTTGAGAGGACCAGTTGGGGTGTCCAGGAGTTGGGTGTCAGGCATTGGTCATGCCAGGGCTGTTGCTTCCCAAGGGGCCGGAGAGTTTGGAGATTAATTATGTTAAGTCTGTGCTGTGTAGCTTGGACAGCACCTTCTTTTTACCATGATATTTTGATTCAGTCGTGTAAAAAGAGGGGTGGGGTTCATTTCTTCACTTCAGGAGGAGCTGCAGGCAAGCCACGCCACCTACATGCGCCGCCATCCGGAACTCAGTGCCCTGCTGGCAGATTTCCTACAGTTGCTACTCCTTCGCAAGCCAGATGATGTGGTCGCCTTCGCTGCTGAATTCTTTGCCCCCTTTTCAGTCCAGAACCCTCCATGCAGGTCATTTCAGTCCTCTGACAAACCCAGCCCCTTCCGTAGCCGTGTCAAAATTATTCCAGAAGAATTAAAAGATGCTGGGGAATGACTCTACGTCTTTTGTTCCTGGAAGCTGCTGGGCATTCTTTGCTCCACCAGGTGGAAGATGACTCTTGAGCCACCAAGTGGCAGATGCACTGTTTTACTGTCTCTCAAATAATGGTGGTGCATTGCTTTGAGAAGAAACTGCTGGGTTTTCCATGCAGGACACAGCCAGTCTGCTAATTCTGTGAGAAGGGAAATGGCAGAAAGGCTTTGGACTGTTTAAATCAAAAATGTCCTACCTTTTGAAAAAATAAGGCAAATTTTACAACAGAGCTTTAGAATGGCTAACTTTAGTTTTAGCAAGTGAAGTTCAGCATGAAAAAACAACACCCACCAAAATGAATTGGAATCAATTGCTGGACAATCAAGACAGAGTGATCAAATACAATAGTTTCATTCAACTTTTGAAAATATAGATTAACACTGACATCTTAGTACATACTTTCTTAGAAGAGTACCTGCAGAAGGGTGCCTGCTGACCTTGATTCAGATGTAGAGACAACCACGATGGGATCTGGAAAGCTGCACTTGGTAGCATACTGTAGCCAGAAACTTCTCATCTCCTCCTCTCTCAGGTTAAGGGAAAACAAAGAGGAAAAGGGAGAGGTTTGCCAGCCTGAAGCTGGAAAGACACTGAAATGACAAACCATGGTCCCTCATTGCATCAGGTTTATGCTACTTTGTTTTGCTTGTATATACAATTTAGTCCCATGGATCAGGTTCTGAGAAAACTTGTTCTGTGCAGAAAGTGACTGTGCTCTTTGTTCATTGCCTGAGGGCTTTTCATGGAAGTAAATAAACAAGGCATCAAATAAATACTCTGTCAGAGAAACTTGCAAGTGTCTCTTCACCACCACCACCACCCACCCACCCCTTGAATATTCAGCCTTCCTGAAACATGCTAGGAAATGCAAGACAAGATGACTCAATCATGGGTAATACAGAGCATCTGCTGAAAGCATTACAAAATTAGAGGACAGGCAGCCTGGGAAGTCACTCTGAAAAGTCCTCTTTTCCTGGCAGATACAGATCCTGTGCCAAGGATCCTAATGTGTAGTTTTGAAACATGTAAATAGAAGTGCTCCATACTACACAAATTTAGTTGTTTTTTAAAACATGCGTTAAGTGTATATAACATGAAAATGCCACCTAAAATTAACTGAAACCTAACTGAGCAAGCACACCAAACTTTTCTTTGGGGAAAGAGCAACGTTTTACAGAGTCAGATGCTTTCGCTTGGTATGCACTCCCCCCAGTGAGGAGTGGTGTACTGTTTAAAACAGTTCCACAAAGGCCTTTTGCCTTGGAGAAGCAGGGCTTTTCGTATTGCATTCCTGTTTCAAACTGCATGGACAACGGTTGATTGTCCCCACCATGTAAGTTCTACATGAAGATTATGTCTGTGAAATAAAACATGGTGTGGGACCACTCAGTGCCAGAACCCAATGCCATCTGGCGGACCCCCACGCATGACCATAAATATTACTGGTGGCATTTGGGTCTATATAAACAGTAACTGTCTATTTTAAATGTAATTAAAGGCTGAGACAACAGGGATTTTTAAGGTTTGTTTCAGTGTAATAAACTAAATGTTTATTACTAACTAAATAAACTAATTACTTTAATGTTATACTTTTGGAATGGGATTTTTTTAAAGTGCTGGCTGTACTTGGTAATATTTTGCTGACTGAGATGAGGAATAATCTAGCCATCTTCCTCTGCTATATTCTAGAAACTGACCAGACTAGCAGCTGCATTTTACTTCAGCTCAGGTGACAGCATCCTCCATTAACCTAGCTTAGGGATACAAGCCAGACATGCTCACACACACACACATGCTCTCATACAGTATGCTGTTTTGCCACCCAATCTCTCTCAGATACTCAGCCTATGTTGCCTGAGGCAGCCACCTCATTTTGCCTAATGGCAGGGTTGGCCCTGAAATAGACAGACACATACACATATTAACCCTGGAAACATGGAATGCTGTTCCTCAAAGTTAACCGGTGTGATCTCCCACTCATTCTTGCTACAGGATAAGAACTCAGACCCAGGGCTTCTCTGCACAAGGCATGCATTGTGTGCTTGTACTTTGCAAGATGTTATCATCTTCCAGGGCCTCTCCCCATCTTGCAGCCATTTTTGTGCAATTTTGTCCATGCTTTGCAGCTGCTTTATTTTAAAAATGTGGATCATCAACTTTCAATTCCCTTTTTCACTAAAATGAGTTCCTGCAAGTCTAGAAATGAACTATACGGCAGCAGCAGCTTCTGGTTGTGCAAGAGAACTTACAGGAAGGCAATGAGAAAAGACCCAGAAAAAAAGCCCACATGTAAAGGCTGAGCTCTTACTCCTGCAAAGAAAATGGGAGACGATGTCTTGGTGAAAAACCAGGTTAAACACCTGAAGAGTCTCTTCCTTGCTGTGGCCACGTCTGACCTGAAGCAAGAACCCTTCCAGCTGCCAAAGCACTTCTCAGTTTGGATCTAACCTTCGCGTAACAGGATGTCAAATTACACATCAGCACTTCTGCCCTTTCCTCTTCCCTACATATGCTCCAAATCTGTGCTAGACATTTCTCCAACAATCCAGAGCAGATCTGGGGCATGTGGGGATATCAGTTCTACTATCCATTCTCTCTCCCTGAGTACAATTGAGAATAAAGACCACTGCGTTCATGCAGCCACTTTACCTTCACGGACCAGTTTACCACAGCATCCAACCTGACAATCATGGATTATTATATTTATTTATTTATTTATTTATTAAAACATTTCTATGCCGCCCCTTGCCGAAGCCTCAGGGCGGCTCACAGCACAAATAAAATACAATAAAATACAAAAATAACAATATAAAATTAACAATATAAAATAAATAACAATATAAAATTATATGTCTGTTTATAGAAGCCTTTTGGGCATTATAGCAGCTGTGTGGAACTTGTACTTTGATTTCATTTCAGGCTACTGCTGTAATATTCAAACTGCATAGAATTTATTATTATTATTATTATTAGTATTAAATGATTATCATATTACATTTGTAACCTACCTTTTTGCCTCTTGTGGGAAACCCAGGCTGGATTACATAGTCCTCCACATCATTTTATCCTCACAACAATAACCCTATAAGGTAGGTTAGGTGATGAGTGAGTGGCCCAAGTTACCCAGTGAGCTTCATGGCTGAGTGGGGACTAGTACCTGGATCTCCCAGCTTCCAGGTCCAGCACTCTAATTACCATGCTGCACTGCCTCTTGAGTTACTCTTCAGTCTGATCCCAGATGTGTGGTGAGGACCTGCCCACTGATCCTTACCTGTCTACATGGTGCCGCACCTTTAAACACTACAGCAGCGCTGTGGGATGAGCCAGTGGTAAGGCAGTTCCCACACCACTGCCATGACCTCTGAGAGGGCTAAACTGAGAAAGGCACTCACTGAAGAATAAGCAAAAGCAACTGGGACAATCCCTCTGGTTCAACATGCTTCCCCTCTGAGGCTGTCAGTGTGATCTGAATGAAGTATAAAAGGGTTGGGTGGGGGGTTGAAGTGAGTAATTATGAGTATGCTTATCCCACCCTTTTCCTCTGACAAGAAACCCAGGCAGTTTGATTCGTCTCCTCTCAGCACAACCCTGTGAGGTAAGTTAGGCTGGAGTCTGTGACCAGCCCAAAGTCACCAATGAGCTTCATGGCCAAGTGGAAACTAGAACCCAGGCTTGCAGAACCCCAGTCCAGCATTCCCACCACTACCCGACACACAGTCTGATTCCAGTTGCGAAAGGCCCGGAAGATGTTCCTTGGGGGTGAGGAAGAGGTAGCAAATAATATGAGGGTTGCAGTTGTTTGTATCCCAGTTTACCTTTCTATCACTTTCCCAACAAGTATTTACACCTAGGAGAAAGTCCCAGTGAACTCAAAAGGAATTCTGAGTAGACATGCACAAGATTACACTGTCCAGCTATCTGCCAAATACCACACCTTCAGAGGGTAGGCAGCGGGCATCTGAAGAAAGGGAATTTTCTGTGGTGGCATTCTTGTGATGGAATTTCCTGTACAGAAAGATTCACCTGGTACCTGCCTTATTGAATTTTAAAAAGTTAAAAAGTCTTTACTCACCTGACCAGTAGCAGGTGTATCAAGTATCAGGTTTATCTTGACAAACTTGAATGCTGGGCTGAAAGCAACAGAATGAGAGTCAATAGGGACAAGTGCCAAGTTTCACCTAGGAAAAAGAAACAAATGCATTGATAGAAGATGGGGAATACGTGGCTTAACAAAACTGAAAAAGAAAAAAGACCTTGGAGTAATTATGGACTACAAGCTAAATAAAAGGCAACAATGCAATGCAGCTGCAAAAAGAACAAATTCTATTTTGGGATGCATTAATAGAAATATTACTTCCAAATCACAAGAAGTAATAGTTCCCCCATACTCCTCACTAGTCAGACCCCATCTGAACTGTGTCCAGTTCTGGACTCCAAGATTTAAGAAAGATGCAGAAAAATTAGAAAGGGTCCAGAGGAGGGCAACAAAAATGATCCAGGGTTTGGAGACACTGCCCTATGAGGAGAGACTGGGTGAAGTGGGCATGTTCAGCCTTGAGAAGATAAGACTGAGGGGGACATGGTATCCCTCTAAAGTACCTCAAAGGCTGTCACAAAAAGGAAGGTCAAGATCTCTTTTCACTGATATCAGAGTGTAGGACAGGGAATAATCAACTCACATTGTGCAGCAGATTCAGACTAGAAATCAGGAAAAGTTTCCTCACTGTCAGAGCAATTTGACAGTGGAACCAGCTGCCTAGAGAGGTAGTGGACTCACCCACAGTAGAGGCATTCAAAAAGAAACTGGACAGCTATCTGAGTGGGATTCGGTAAACTGGTGTCCTGCAATAGCAGGAGGTTGGACCTGATGGCCTTCATGGACCCTTCCAACACAACTGTTCTATGATCACTGTTTTGCCTGTTATTTTGAGTGCAGTTTTGCATGGAAATAAATCCCATTGAATTTAATAGGACTTACTTCTGAGCAGAAAACATGTAACAAGAGAACCAGTGTGGTACAGTGGTTGAAGTTCTGGAATGCGGATCTGGAAGATCCAACTTCTAGTCCCCACTCAGCCATGAAGCTCACTGGGTGACTCAGACTAGCCTACCTCACACTGCACTCCATTTCTGTAGTGAGGGCAAAATGCAGCAATGTAAGCTGTCTTGGGCTCCTCACAAGAGGAAAAACAAGTGGCACATAATGCAGCGTAATAAAAATAATAGCCCTCAAAAGTGCCATTCTACAATATTTTGTACATTTTAATGTGTAAGTTTTCTTCCTCAGGAGTTGGTTGTTGTTGTTGTTATTATTAAAATATATGCATCCTTTCCTTTCCAACCATAAAAATGAAAAACAAAGTGACTTACATATGAATACATAAATCCATAATTAATATAACATAAAACATAAAATCAATAGAAATCATAACATGATCATTCATAATATTCAAATATTCTGCGTAACAATTCTCCTTATTGACCTCCTTAACGCTACAAAGGCAATCCACAGCAATGGGCCATAACTTAATTCCTTGCGGGGGAAGTGTCTTTGCCTCATGTTGAAAATAGTTATTCTGTAAACTTGCTGCTGTTTCACAGAATCTGAAAGTTTAAAATCATTCTTGAAGAAGGAGCCTCTCAGGTTCTGAAACTGAAAGAGGCTGTGCTAGAAGGAACACATTTTAGATTAAAACTTTTGAGAACAAATTTCTCCTTTCACATACTTCCGAGTTTCTGTACTTCTCCGTTTCTTTT